AGTTCCAACCGAAGCCAGACAGTCCCGCTTCTCCCGTTTGAGTCTGGGTCCCCAGAGACTCGCCCGGATCTGGAGCTCAGAGTCTGAAACTCCCTCCCGATTGAAAACAACAACCGCGCCCTCCGCCGCCAGCCCGCTCCGCGCGCGCACTCCGCACCTGAGTATTTCACTTCACTGCGCCTCCTCTGAGTCTGGGTATGATATTCTCTTTCCTCCTAGTTGTAGAATTTCCACTCAGCCAGCCTTCCTGTGGTTCTGGATGATGTCCGTTCTGTCCTTTAGTTATATCTCTAAAGTGGTTGTTCAAGGCAGCAATCTCCGGCGTTAACCTATGCCGCCATCTTGGTTTCCTCCGGAATTTTTAATTTTTAAAAGAAGTAAGCAGGAAAAGAATTCATATAAGGAATTCATATGCCATGGAATACTATGCAGCAGTAAACCAGAAAGATCTCTTACCCTTCGAGACAGCATGGAAATAAGCCAGTCAGAGAAAGACAAGTATCACATGATCACACTCATATGTGGAATCTAATGAACAAATAAACTGATGAACAAAACAGATCCAGAGACACAGAAGCATAGAACTGACTGCAGAATTGCAGAGGGAAGGTGGGGGAGGTGGTGGAGGCCTGGGGTGGGCGTGGGGGCGGGCTAGAAGGGGTCAATGGGGGGAAAGGGGGACATATGTAATACTTTCAACAATAAAGATTTAATTTTTTTTCAAAGTCAACTATGTATTCCATCACCAAAAGGATTTATTCAAGAAAAAGCGCCTGGCCAGCATGGCTCAGTGGTTGAACATTGACCTATACACCAGGAGGTCACAGTTCAATTCCTGGTCAGGGCACATGCCTGGGTTGCAGGCTCGATCCTCAGCGTGGGGCATGCAGAAAGCAGCCGATCAATGATTTTCTCTCATCATTGATTTTCCATCTCTCTCTCCCTCTCCCTTCCTCTCTGAAATCAACCATATTTTTTTAAAAATAATAAAAAGAGAAGATTGCAATCCAATACGTGCAGACATGGCAAGGCACGTGCATGAAGAACATGTACAGCTGTATAAGGACCACATGCTCACCCTGGGCCACCGGAGCAATCCTCCCACAGGCCCTTCTGATTTCTGTCCAGGGGAAGGTCTCTATTATAATTTTATCACTGAAAACTGGTGGTATGGGGTGAGGCATGCAGCTCGCGGTGGGAATTCTGAATCCTGTTACCTGGGAAAGGAGGAATCGATGGGGGACTAAACAGGTGTCCCCTTGCTGAATTTCTTCTGTTGCTGCAGCGGGGAAGCAGTGCAGACTCACAGCCGAGGCTTGTCCTGTAACTACCCACGCCAGCGCAGGGCGGGCTGGGTTTGTGTCCCCAGTCAGTGCAGTGGGTTCGGTATGTTATTCTAATCACAGAGTAAAAGTCCTGTTCTTAGAGAAAAGCTTGAGCTACATGCATAAATGTGTCTAGGCAATGGTGTTGCCGATGAGAATGAGTTCTTTAGCTATCAGAAGAAAGGACTTTCAAAGGGCGCATGGCTGGGAGCAGTTGATGTGTAGTGACAAGATTTATTGGGGTGAAGGGAAATAACACACCCTCGGGATGTAGAGGGCAGGCACTCTCTAGTTGCAACTGCCCTGAGATCCCTGATAATCCTCTGTATGTAATTTCTTGGTTTGGGGGAACGAGCAGGCTTTCTTTCAAACTATTCAACCTACTTTTTTGGTTTTCCTGGACTTGTGCTGGATCCTCCTCCTAACCAATCCCTTTCCTGGACCTTCCGGAGTTCCACGCCATTATTTAACCTGATTCTTTTTTTTAATATATTAAAAATATATTAAAATATTTTAATATTTTAAAATATATTAAAATTTAAAAAAAAATTTCAATTTTTTATTGATTTCAGAGAGGATGGGAGAGGGAGAGAGAGAGATAGAAACATCAATGATGAGAGAGAATCATTTATCAGCTGCCTCCTGCATGCCCCACACTGGGGATTGAGCCTGATGGGGTATCGAACAATGACCTCCTAGTTCACAGGTCAATGCTCAACCACCGAGCCACGCCAGCTGGGCTTAAATATGTTTTTCTTGATTTTAGAGAGAGTGGAAGTGGGGGTGACATTGATGAGAGAGAAACATTGGTTAGCTGCCTCCTGCAGGCGCCTATTGGGGATTGAGCGCACAACCCAGGCATGTGCCCTAACTGGGAATCGAACTGGTGACATGGGAGGATGCTCAGTCAACTGAGCCACACTGGCCAGGCTCCCCTGCTGTTTTTATTCCTCCTTCGGTTATCCGGTTATCACGGCTAATGACCAGTGGAGAATGAGGCTGTTAACCTAGGAACTCTGTGGCTTCCTGGTGAATCAGGCTCAATGTCTAATTCAGCTCCCTAATGAATTAAGCTTAATGGTCAGTTCCATTTGCTCTCTTCCTAACTAACTAGCTACCTATGCTAATAGTTATACTAACCAAATCCTATTTATCTTCATAGCCAGTGGAAGTGCCATTTTGAGGATCTCCTAGACTCTCAACCTGTGGGTTGCGACCCCTTTGGGGGTCGAACGACCCTTTCACAGGTGTCGCCTAAATACATCCTGCATATCAGATATTTACATTACGATTCATAACAGCAGCAACATTACAGTTATGAAGTAGCAACAGAAATAATTTTGTGGTTGGGTCACAGCATGAGGAACTGTATTTAAAGGGCCAGAAGGATAAGAACCACTGAGGACCTAGCGTGCCTGAAGCAGCCGGGATTTCATTATTTGTGCCTCTACTAAAAGCAGCAATGGCAACCTCAGATTGATCGCTTATACATGCAAGCTCCAAGCACTAAGTGCCATCCATGAGTCAGCTCTTTAATTCTCCCTCAATCCCGAGAGGTTTATATTGTTATCTGACTTTCCTGATGAGGAACCTGAGGTTTAGGAAACATCGACTGGCTGCCTCCTGCATGCCCTCTGCTGGGGATGGAAGCCACAAGGGAGGATGTGCCCTGACCAGGAATAGAACTGGCAGCCTCTTGGTGCACAGGATGACGCCCAACCCACTGAGCCACACTGGCCAGGCTACACCTGTAAATAATTTTTATATTTTATTTGAGCCAAACTGACAATTGGCAGAAAGTACGATGCTCAAGATAAGTGACAGTTTGCAGTTTCTTTTATGCATTTGGAATTAGGGAGGGATTAAAGGAAGATTAAGCGAAGGTGGGAGAAAGCAAAGCGGGGATCAGATTACAGGACAATTAACAAGATTAGGCTCTCTTGAGGGTGGTTACACCTCGGAGGGGTACCGCTTCTGACATTTCAAAGGCGTTAAACTGGATGCACAAGAGCAATGGGCAGGAATTTGTAACTTATTAAAGCACCCCTTTTTCGCCCACGGTATCAAGATGTCCTTGTGGACATCTGCCAGATTCCGGTTCTGTTGCTTTCCTTTGCCTTGTTCATTATGATGTATCACACCTGAGAACAACAGTTGTTTAAGGTCAGGCTTTAGCACAGTGGTTCTCAACCTTCTGGCCCTTTAAATACAGTTCCTCATGTTGTGACCCAACCATAAAATTATTTTCGTTGCTACTTCATAACTGTAATGTTGCTACTGTTATGAATCTTAACATAAATATCTGATATGCAGGATGGTCTTAGGCGACCCTGTGAAAGGGTCGTTCCACCGCTGCTTTAACATTTCAAAGCCGAGAAGTCAGGAAAGGGTCACCATTTTTGAAGAAGTGACAAACTTGTTGTCCAGCTTGTTTTTCCGTTCACCAGAGGTGGCATGTGGGTGCTGGTGGATAGGTCCACTAAGCAACGGGCCCTGATTCCCCTTCCTCTTTGAATCCAGGAAGTGAGAATCCCTAGCAAGAGGTGTTATATAAGTAAGTTCTTTGTCTGTTTGGGCTGGGTAGCTTATAAACAAGAGATATTTATTTCTCACAGCTCTGGAGGGTGGGAAGTCCAAGATGCAGGCAGCAGCTTGGTGAAGGTCCTCTTCCTGGTTCATAGCCAGTGGCTTCTGGCTGTGTCCTCATGTGGTAGACGGGGTGAGGGGGCACTGTGGAGGCTCATTTATGAAAACACTATCCCATTCATGATGGCTCCACCCTCATGACCTAATCACCTCCCCTCTAGGCCCCACTTCCTGGTGCCATTACATCAGGCTTTAGGATTTCAACATGTGAATGGGAGGGGAGAGACCCTCGCAGTGAGTTCTCATCACTTTCTAAAGCAAGCGTGTCAAACTCAAAGGCTAACATGGGCCACAGAAACAAGGTTTAAGTTTATGGGGGCCGCAAAAAAAAAACCAAAAGCTTCAATTTTCATAGAAACGTGGGTTTATTTCGATAGACATGCTGAATACAAAGGGCTGTAATAAATGAGGAATCATTATAGAATTTATAGAATTGCAAGAGACAGGCTGCATGCTTGCCTATGGATAGGAGCTGTGAACAGGACTGGGGCTGTGAGACCCAGATTTGGAGGGCACCCTAATCCTACTCGCAAATGTTATATTTAGATACTTAGTAAATATGACTAGCAAGTAACAGGTTACTCAACAGGTCTCAGCTCCCCTGTCTGTAAAATGGAGACCATGAGACACACTGTCCCAGACTGTGGAAAAGATTCAATGAGATATGAGTAATCTTCCTGGCGCTTAACAGGCACTTAGTGGATAGCAGCTGTTAGTCTTACCATTTTAATTTTACACAGAGCCCTTTGCAGCGGTTCTCAACCTGGGGGTCGAGACCCCTTTGGGGGTTGAATAACCCTTTCACAGGGGTCGCCTAAGACCATCGGAAAACACATATATAATTACATATTGTTTCTGTGATTAATCACTATGCTTTAATTATGTTCAATTTGTAACAATGAAATGGGGGGTCACCACAACATGAGGACCTGTATGAAAGGGTCGCGGCGTTAGGAAGGCTGAGAACCGCTGCCTTAGAGCTTGTTCAGATGATTGAACATGATAATAACCTACGAATGCTGCCCTCAGCAGATGCAGATCTGTGGCTCCAGAGTGTATCCTGAGAAGTATCTCTAGGCTCTCGGCCCGATGCCTTGGCAGCGCCTCGATCTGAAGATGTCACCCCGGGTGCTGTGGGGCAGCCTCAGCCTGCTCCGCCTGGTGTGGTGTGTCCTTCCACAGACAGGCTACGTGCACCCTGATGAGTTCTTCCAGTCACCGGAGGTCATGGCAGGTAAAGCGCCCCGTGTGTGGCTGTGATACGTCCCAGCAAAGTCTGGGTTGGAGCTGGTTGGATGTCCAGGGGGAGGGAGACACATGGCTGGGCAGATGAGCAGAAAACCAGTGAGCCCCTCTGGGGTGAGAACTTGCGAGTGGGGACCTCGCATCTCCTTCCTGAGGGTGACACTGACCTTCTGGATGATACTCATGAAATGCCGGCCTCTTTGGTGTTCTCCTGTTTGGACCAACAGTAGAGGTTACTGAAAAGAAAAGCTGTTTGGTATTTCTCGGGGAAGGATTTGAGTTGGGCTTCTGCCGGGGTTCTTGTTCTGGCATTAAGAAGGGTTCAGCAATCTGGAGAAGGGCTGTGTGTAACTTAATAAAGAGTCCAGAGACGAAGTATAATTTTGAAAGGCATTTTGGGGTCAGAGGAGCCTCGTTAAGAAACTAAGATCTCCTTTTCTCAGGACCCCATGCTTTTTATTAACACAATTTGTCCTGAGGCGAGGTGGAGATATACACTTCAAAGGGTAGGGTTTCGTATACAGAGTCCATTGTCAGATTGGAAGAATTAGCCTACAGCTGTTCAGGTGTTTGGCCAGTAGGAGGCAATAACATGTAGATTAAGGTGCCCTGAGCTGTCTGGCAGCAAGCAATCAATTTAAGCATCCTTTTCAGGTTTAGGGAAATGCCCTTGCCACTCCAGATCCAGCCCTGCTGCCATGCTGGAACTGGCTTCCGGCAGGCTTCCTCAGCGCTTGGGAAAACTTACACAGAGAGGAAGGGAGGAGAGAGAGACAGAAACATCAATGATGAGAGAATTATTGATGGTATGCCTCCTGCACACCCCACACTGGGGATCCAGCCCAAAACCCAGCATGTGCCCTGACCAGGAATTGAACCGTGACCTCCTGGTTCATAGGTCAACACCCAACCACTGAGCAACACTGGCCAGGCTGTTGTTTTTTAACCAAAAAAGTAGTTCTGGAATATTTCTCTCCACTCCCTCTACTCCTGTCCCTGAACGGCAGTGGGACATTTCAGCATCTCATCCTTTATGGGTCATTCTCCCTCTAGCGATCATTTCCCCTCCTCAGCCTGGCCCGGTGAGAGGGGAGAACGCAGGGCTCAGTCAGCATCTAGCAGCACTTGAGGACACACAGGTGCTCCCAGAAGCCTTTCTTTGCAAATGTGATCTGGTCCCTCTGCAAGCGCAAAGCCCTCTTCACAGGACGGAGAGCAAACCCCACGCCAAACCAGCACCTGCTGCTTTGATGGAGCCATCGCACCCTGAGCATGTTGCTCCCCACACCGGTACCCTCTACCCAGCCCACTGGGAAACTTTTCTTCTGTAGTTTTATATGAGGGCCGAGGGAACCCAGACCTGGATGCTCCATTGTTAGAATTTATCTACCAGGTGGTGTAGAGCACATCATGAGGATGGTTGCTAGGGACCGTAAGGGTTCTCAGATGCTGGGGGCACATGGCTTCCTCCTTCGGTTCCATATGGCTGCTTGAGATCCAGCCGTCAAGTCTAAAACCAAGTCTTTCCAGCCACTGATGGGCATGCCTACTCTCTTCCAGGGCATTTTTGAAAGTCTCATACCATCTCCATCCCATCAGTCAGAATGTGTCACGTGGCAACTCCGAGCCTGCAAAGGAAGCTGAAAAATAGAGCCTTCAAACCTGACCAAACGTCCCACTGAAGAAGGAGGGAGTGGATACTGGCGAGACTATTTAGCTATTTCTGCCACGTGGCTCAATGCTGGATTTAACTTGAAAGGTCCAGTCTTCCTCTCCACACTTTTTTAAAAACCAGAGCCAGTGCCGAAACCGGTTTGGCTCAGTGGATGGAGCGTCGGCCTGCGGACTGGGGGGTCCCAGGTTCGATTCTGGTCGGGGGCATGTGCCTTGGTTGCGGGCACATCCCCAGTGGGAGATGTGCAGGAGGCGGCTGATTGATGTTTCTCTCTCATCAATGTTTCTAACTCTCTATCTCTCTCCCTTCCTCTCTGTAAAAAATCGGTAAAATATATTTAAAAAAAAAAAAAAAGAGTCTGCTTCCTGGCAATTGTCAACAGATTGGCTCAAATAAACTCACAAAATTCTTTAAAAAAAACAACAAAAAAACAGAGCCAGTGAAAAGCAGCCAGATTGAGCTGATCCTAGCTTTTCTGTTTCCCTTTTGACATAGAGAGAGAATGGCTAAAAGGCTGGAGGAATAAGTAGGAGAAACAAAGAGCCCGAAACAAAACCAGCAATGTCATCGAGCATCAGAAGCTGTGGGCCTGAGTTGAGGTGCAGAAATGAAGAGTTTGTTTCCTTCACCCCAGCCCTCAGAGCTCTGGGACACGGGGTGCAGGATCACAGGCCAGACTCAGGCAGCGAGTATTCCTTTAATGACACAAGTACTGCTTGAATATATTTTTCTTATGAAAAATTTAAATATCATAGACAAATCTAAAACCACTTTTGACCATAGTCACGTTGCTCATCCCCTTTCCCTTTCTCACGCTGCCTATCCTGGAACACAGTCCTAATTACAGAGATGGGTTTTTACCTCCCTTTGGAGACTTTAAACTCTGAGGAGAGGAATGGACCTTCCCCCTGATCCGCCCCATACCCCCTGTCCAGGGCACATTGTCACCTCACATCCCAGGAATGGTTCCTTCCCAGGGGGGCCTCGGACGGGCTGGACTCCCCTACGTTCATTTCTAGTGCTGCATAACCAATCATCACAAACCCCGCAGCTTAAAACGGTCAGGTCGCCGCTCTGTAAATTGGAAGTCTGGCATGGACTCTCTGCTCAGGGCATCACAGGGTTGAAATCAAAGTATGGCCGGGCCGAGCTCTCATCTGGAAGCTCTGGGGGGAAATCTGCTTTCCAAGCTCATTCTTTATGTTGGAAGAATTTCGTTTATTTCAGCTCTGGGACTAAAGCCCCCACTTCCTTGCTAAACGTCAGCCAGGGGCTGATCTCGGCTCCTGGATCATGCCTTGCCAATGGCCCCCTCCATCTGAGACCGCAAGGGTGCATCAAATCCTTCTTTTTTTTTTTTTTTTTTTTAAATATATTTTATTGATTTTTTTACAGAGAGGAAGTGAGAGAGATAGAGAGTTAGAAACATCGATGAGAGAGGAACATCGACCAGCTGCCTCCTGCACATCTCCCACTGGGGATGTGCCCGCAACCCAGGTACATGCCCCCGACCGGAATCGAACCTGGGACCTCTCAGTCCACAAGCCGACGCTCCATCCACTGAGCCAAACCGGCTTCGGCATCCTTCTAATGGTTTGAATCTCTGACGTTCTTTTCTGCTTTTAAAGGGCTTGTGTGATTATGTCAGGCCCATCTGCATTGTCTCCCTGTCTGACGTTCTGCTGTCCCCGTGACATAAACTAATCACAAGAGGAAAATCCATCATCTTCACAGTCCCAGGGTTTATCCGGGGAGTGGACACTAGGGGGCTGGGAGATCCAGGCGGCCATCCTGAAGTGTTATTGTCTACCGAATTCTCTGAGCGTGGGACTGGCTCACCCCCACTTCTCTCCGCAGAGGACATCCTGGGCGTCGAGGCCGCCCGGCCCTGGGAGTTTCACTCCAGCAGCGCCTGCCGCACGGTGGTCTTCCCGCTGCTGACCTCCGGCTTTGCCTTCTGGCTGCTCAAGATCTGGAAAGAACTGGGCCCGTGGCCTGGCCTGGTAAGTGGCTATGCGCTGCTGGTGGGGCCCCGGCTCCTCCTCACTGCCCTCTCCTTTGCCCTGGACATGGCCATCTACCACCTGGCCCCGCTGTGGAGGGCGGAGCGCTGGAACGCCCTGGTCTTGCTGTCGGGCTCCTATGTCACCCTGGTCTTCTACACAAGGACCTTCTCCAATGCCATCGAGGGACTGCTCTTCGCCTGGCTGCTGGTACTGGTGTCGCCCCGTGTAGCTGGGAGCCCCGCGCCCGGGAAGCCTGCTCGAGGCTCGTGGTGGCACAGCTGGCTTCTCGGGACCATCGTGGCTGCCGGCTTCTTCAACCGGCCCACCTTTCCGGCCTTCGCTCTGGTTCCCGTGTTCCTCTGGGGCATCTGTGGAGCCACAAGCTCTGCCTTCAAGTCACTGACCAAGGCAGCCCTGGGGCTCCTCCCAGGAGCGGCCCTCACAGCAGCAGTGTTTGTGGCTGCGGACAGCTGGTATTTCTCCAGCCCGTTTACTAAAAGACCCAATACCCTTGTCCTGACACCTGCCAACTTCTTGCAGTACAACCTGGATCCTCAAAACCTGGAGAGGCACGGCACGCATTGGCGGCTCACGCACCTGGCTGTCAATGGTTTCCTGCTCTTTGGGATGCTGCATGCCCAGGCCCTGCGGGCTGGGTGGCAACAGCTGCGAGTCTGCCGCCAGGTCTTGGTACAGATGCGCTCCCTGAGGGTGTGGGATGCCCGGAGACTGCTGCCCGGCCCCAGCTCTCACCTCCTGCTCCTCTACTTCACGCCCCTAGCACTGCTGTCTGCTTTTAGCCACCAGGAGGCTCGCTTCCTGATCCCCCTTCTGGTCCCCCTGGTCCTGCTTTGTAGTCCACAGACTCAACCTGTGCCCTGCAAGGGCACCCTAGTCCTCTTCAATGCCCTGGGCGCCCTCTTCTTCGGCTGCCTGCACCAGGGGGGCGTCGTGCCCGGCCTGGAGCACCTGGAGCGGGTGGTTCATGCGCCTGAGCTCCCAAACGTACCTACCCACTACACACTCCTCTTCACCCACACCTACATGCCCCCGCGGCACCTCCTCCACCTCCCAGCGCCGGGGTCACTCGTGGAGGTGATGGAAATGGGTGGGTCTGAGGATCCGGTCCTGTGCCAAACCCTGAACAACTTCACCAGACAACCGGCCTGCCAGGTGGCCGGTGGGCCATGGCTCTGCCGCCTTTTTGTGGTGACGCCCGGCACCACCAGGCCTGCCACGGAGAAGTGCAGCTTTCCCCTCAAGAGTGAGACCCTTGTGTTTCCCCACTTGACCCTCGAGGACCCACCAGCCATGTCCTCCCTGCTGAGTGGGGCTTGGAGGGACCATCTCAGCCTTCACATCCTAGAGCTGGGGGAGAAGCCCGACAACACGACAGAGAACTCGAGGCGGTAGATGACGGCCCCACTCCACCTTCTCTTGGGGAAGCTGGGCTGGGACAGAGTCTGACTCTCTTCCGTTCCCTTCCCGTCCAGAATTCCCACCCCTGCCTCTCCTGTCCACAGCCCTTGCTTTACTTTCTGGGTAATCTGGCACCCTTCTCCCCTCAAAGACCAAAGATCTGACCAGTCACAGTCCTGATGCCAAGGCCCTGATGCCCCCAAAGGACCTGGTATAACCAGTCGGTCCCTAATGTTGGTCCCTGCCCTATTCCTTCCAGAAACTGTGATGCTTTAAATATATAATAGCACCTTGTTGTGAAGAACAACCATCTGAGAGTGACATTCTTGACTGACCTCCAAACCTGCCAGGATGCCTTACCTCTTGATGCCATTACAATCCTTTGCTTCCTAGACACCTGGAGGGAGACAGTGTGGGGATGGAGAGGGAGTAGGTAGTGCAGATTCAGGGGACCTGAGTTCTAGTCCCTGGTCTGCCACTCACTGTGTGATCTTAAGAAAGCTCCTTCCCGTCCCCCAGCCTGTTTCTAGCCTGTACAATGGATCAGAGCATCTCTGAGGTGTCTGCCAGCTAACACTGTGTCATTCCTGGGTCTGCAGCACATGTCCCCTGGCTAGACAGGCACGTCTCTCCCAAAGCTCTTTAAGCATGGAAGTGAGTGTGGTGGTATATTTAATTGCACTTTGGCCGTCTTAGTGTTTGTTTGTTGTTGTTTTTAAATTTTAAAAAAATATATTTTTATTGATTTCAGAGAGGAAGGGAGCAGAGAGATAGAAACATCAATGATGAGAGAGAATTATTGATGGAATGCCTCCTGCACACCCCACACTGCGGATCCAGCCCAAAACCCAGCATGTGCCCTGACCAGGAATTGTACCGTGACCTCCTGGTTCATAGGTCAACACCCAACCACTGTACCACACTGGCCAGGCTGTTGTTGTTTTTTAACCAAAAAAGTAGTTCTGGAATATTTCTCTCCACTCCCTCTACTCCTGTCCCTGAACGGCAGTGGGACATTTCAGCATCTCATCCTTTATGGATCATTCTCCCTCTAGCGATCATTTCCCCTCCTCAGCCTGGCCCGGTGAGAGGGGAGAACGCAGGGCTCAGTCAGCATCTAGCAGCACTTGAGGACACACAGGTGCTCCCAGAAGCCTTTCTTTGTAAATGTGATCTGGTCCCTCTGCAAGCGCAAAGCCCTCTTCACAGGACGGAGAGCAAACCCCACGCCAAACCAGCACCCGCTGCTTTGATGGAGCCATCGCACCCCTGAGCATGTTGCTCCCCACACCGGTACCCTCTACCCAGCCCACTGGGATCATGAGGGACTGAGGCTCTACACCTGTCCTCACCCCCCTCCTCACCTCTGCCATCTCATGAGAACAAGAGGCAGACAGGCCACAGAGATCAGTGAGCTGGAGGCCAGCACAGAGCAGGAGGCCAAATCTGTGCAAATGACCAAACCTGAGTCCTTTTCTAGTTCTGCCTTCTGCTGGCTAAAGCCTTGGGTCATCTTAAAGTTACACCCTTCACAAGTATGCTGTTCTATGACTGCTACTAGGGTCTTAGTGCCACATCTTCCTCATGACTCCAACCCAAGGAAGAGGAAATTCGGTGGTACACTGCTAAATGTGTAGCAATGTTCTCTCGGGGACAAAAAGAAAAAAAGAGAAAAAAAAGTGCCCCAATTTGTAGCATTTGCCAATTTCTGTGGTGTCAATATTCCCACATGGCTGATTTCAAACTACTAAAATGATGTTACTGAACTCCAAGTTGGGAGGAGATGCCAAGCATCTACTCATGAAACAGTATCAGCTGGCCCCAGCACACTATCAGATTTAAACTCGAGACCCATTCATGACAACTCATTGTTCTTCTGGTTCATGTTTCTGCTATGAACCTCTCATTTGTCTTCCTACCCCTTAGTACTTAGCATCATCTCTGGCAAATGATAAGCACTTACTTTGCAGCCACAGATGGCATTTCTGTCCATAAATATAAAACCAAGGGCCACCTTGGAGACATCCAAGACTCTAGGGTCCCAAACTCCTCTGGGCTTCTGCTGCTTCTCTTCCCCATTTGGATCGACAACCATGAGCTCCCTGGAGAAACCGTTGGTATGGCAGTCCATGTAGACTGTGGTGGTCTGAGCTCTAAATTTGTCGGTAAAGGGTGTGTATCCGTGTGGCATCAAAAGGTGAATTGGAATTGCCCTGCAGGATGAGGGGATGAATTGCTTCCCTTTTAGGCAGAGCTTAGAATCTCAAAGGCATGCTAGGAGACTGTGTCAATGGGAAAAATTTGGTCTGTTTCTTTTCTTTTTAAAGTGTTTTTATTGATTTTAGAGAGAGGAAGGGAGAGGGGTATGTATCAACATCAATCAGCTGCCTCCTGCACACCCCCTACTGGGGATCGAAACTGGGGCATGTGCCTTGACTGGGAATCTCTGGGTTCATGGGTTGATGCTCAACCACTGAGCAATAGCAGTCAGGCCTGGTCTGTTTCTTTAGTAACAGGGTAACTGGTGAGAAGGCAGGCCACAGACTACAAACACGGGAGGCGTTTACAATGAAGTGGGGAGGCATCTAGTAGGTGCAGAAAGGACCCGGTTTTCTCTGCTCCCAGACTCCTTCTACGGAAATGAGGGTGCGCGTATGTGTGTGTGACTTGATTCTTATCCACTCCTTCCACAAAAATGAATTCTCTTGATTTCCCCTTCTCTTGATTTCCTTTCTTTCTGACTAAATGGCCAGTTTGTCTAGAAATTTCATTGTTTCCTGCACTTCTTCCCCTTTTGTCTCTTCTAGAAAAAAACAGTGGGTATGGTAGTTATGTTGGGGTACGGATTTGGGCTGGGGGCTGCTAATATTGTGCGACTCTGATATCCAGAGACCGATGGGTGGGGCTGAGGCCAAAGAGGCAGACAAGACGTAGACCGAACAAACTCTTTAGGCTCATCACTGCCAGGCTGCAAGGAAAACCCAACGAACGGCCTCTAGTTGGGAGAACGATTTCTCCTCTGATGGGAGAGGGGGGCAGGATGCCAAACCAGGACTTGGTCATTAGGGGATGGGACTTCTGGCCTCAAGGAGGATTACACAGCACCTCTGATGGGAAGACTGGGGGATGGGAAGCCCAATGAGAAGTCTGACCATAAGGAAAGTGGAGGACAAGCTACGTTAGCTCCTCCAGCCCCAGGGTAGGTCTCCAGCCCTCTCCAGCTTCCTGTGACTATCAGAAAAGCCAGCGTATAAATTCGGTTTGGTTACCCGTCTAAAAGCTTCTCCCGTGGCTTTGAGCTTTCTGCTTGAATGACTGTGTAGCCTAACCAGAGGTGATCAGAAATTCAGTCGGAAGCCTCAAATGCCCTGACCCTCTAACACGGGAAACAGGAATCCAGGTAGCTTGTTCCTGCGTAGGCAGCAGTCCTAACACCCAGCGGTGGCGTAAGGAGTGGGAAGGCAGGCATCGAAGATCAGGCCTGGAAAATGCCATGGAAAGCTGAGCATGGACTTGGGAGCTGGAGTTAAGCACCTGTGTTCACATCCGGCTCCGTAAGGCCATGGGCAACTTAAGTAGCCTCCCTTTCCCTGTACATGGTGGGGATTAAATGAGGTAACCCACTCAGAGTGCAACTGGCAGGTGCCAACACAGAGTAAGCACTCAACGTGTGTTCACTGACGATCCATCCTGCGGGCGGGAGAAGTACCACGCTCATACCCGTTTCTCAGCTCGCACATTTAATCAGAGGGTTTTGGCGTCTACTGGGTTGTCTTTCCATCCATGATCTCCGCTGGAAGCAGAGCCCCACTGCATCCCAGCAGAGGCAGCAGCATCCATCAGGAGTTTTGGTCTCCTACGTGGAGGGCAGGCTCTCCTTGGGGCTGTGGCACGGTCCATGGCTCTGCAGGTGGCGGGTCGGGGCCCAGCTGATCTTCATTTCTGTTAGGCTTCGGGGCTCCCTTCACTCCCTGGCCCTGTCCGCTCGCAGGGCTCACCGGGTGTGCCCGCCTGGCCTGGGCTCTCTGATGCGTGGAGCTCTGCAGGCTGACAGGTGTCAGGAGGAGAAGCCGTGCGCGGGGCTGGGGATGACTCCTTAGCGGAGGCCCGTGTCCAGCCGGAAGGGAGAGGGGCGGCCTCGACTCGGCCCGGCCCGGCCCGGCCCGGCCCAGCCCGGGGTTAGTGGTTTGCTCCCGGGCCCCGCTGGCTACCTGGTGGTGGTCCCGGGCGCTCGCGGAGGCCGCGGCGGAGCTCCCGAGTGAAGGTGTCTCTGAAGCGGGCAGCGCGGCGGCCCAGGGAACCCGCGGGCCCGGCCGCGAGGCCTCGCAGACGCCGGGCCGCGTCCTGGCCGCGCAGCTGGGCCTGCAGCAGGGCGAAGGCGGTGAGCTGCGCCGCACGCCGGATAGGCCGCGACTCGGACAGGCGTTCCACCAGCTGCGGGTTGTGCAGCAAGAAGCCCAGCAGCCGCCTCAGAACCATCGTTGGAGCGGCCCGGAACCCGGAGCGCCTCGCTCTGGCTTCTGACCGGCGGCGCCCGACGACGGACCACGTCTGAGCCCGCGCCGCCGGCTGACGACTCTGCCGCGCTGGGATTGGGCCGCAGAACCCGCTTCTAGCGTTTCCGGTTCCGCCACCTCCGCGTCCTCTGGTTCTTCCCGTCGTGGCGGCGTCCTCGTCGACCTCTGTGCACTATGTCCAGCGGCCTCCTGAAGGCGCTGCGCAGCGACTCCTATGTGGAGCTGAGCCAGTACCGGGACCAGCACTTCCGGGTAAGGGGGGCCGGACCGCTAGGAGGGGGGGCCCTGGGCCAGAACCCTGCGAGTTGGTTTCTCCGGTGTCGCTGTCGTCTCCCACTCTCTGGTTTCCCGAAACCCAGTGAGGCCCCGGTGCCTGCTGGGGAATGGATGCCGAGGGCGTGGGGCTGTCGCCGAATCCCCTTCTCCCATAGAAAGGGGGTTTGAGGCTCGCTCTCCCAGCCCCTCGACGCCGCTCCCGGCGCCGGGCCCGTGCAGAGGCGTTGGAGCGGCGGTCGTGGTGGCTCCCGTTTCCACGCGCTGTGCCTCGGCGCGGTGACTGTGCCGAGGGGAAGGGTGTCCTGCGGCCCCCGGAGTACCGGGAGGCGCCTTCCTGACTCAGATGCCAGGGCTTCTTATTTTTTATTTTATTGTAGTGAAAAATATGTGAGCATGTAAATAAGCAGTTATTTTGAACATTTTCTGTGGGAGTATTACAGGGGTACCCCGTCTCTGCAAATCCATGTATTTTTTTTTTCACTACAAAGGATGAAAAGCCCC